TCCGAACTTGTCCGGCAGGGCTTCCTTGCCCGTGTCGGAGCTTGATCAACGTCGAAGCAGACTTGTGTGGATAATAAGGCTCGGCGAAGGTATCTTCCTGAACCCTCCAGCATAGTACCAGGTGTCCATTGGCGCTAAGCAGCTCCATGGCCTACCGAGCCACGACGACAAGTATATGCGGATGTTTCGAGGCTTGAACCACCCTTCAAGTACTTCCGTCAAGGCAATCTACCTTCTCCTACGCAGCTAGAGTCAGTCAATGTGACAGGAGTGGATATGCGACACGAATACAGTATGCCATTACTCACATCGTAAGCTTTCTTGGCGACTACCAACGAAGGCTGGTTGTGAAATGCGCAGACGGAACAAGCGGGAATTTCAGGAGACTGGTGCTGAGGAGTGTCAAGCGAACCGGACCTCCAGACAGAAAGCCTCACTCAGCATCGTCGAAAGATAGGTGGCTACCCACCAGTTGCTTGACAGCCCATGGACGGCAGACGTTGCGTTGTCCGAAACTTTGCTCTTGGCTCGAAGTCTGTGCCGAACGGGCGTCTGGGGGATCTGCGGGGTGAGTCTCGGCGTGAGTCTCGGCGTGCAGCGATCGCAGGGGAGCCGGGGCTAAATAGTTGTGACCCCTTGGTTCCGTAGCGGGGTAGACGGGCAAACATCGCGGTTCGCGGAGGTTGTAGCTCCGTTCGTGATGCCATTTTTCCATATTAAGGGGTTCGTCATGTGTGACTTTGCCGGTGATAATGTGTCTTCCTCTTGGAATCTGCGATGTAACGCCGTTTCTCTCATGTTGTGCAAACTCCGCCTAGTAACCTAGTAAAGTGGGAAGAACTCTCATTGAAGACCAACTTGCGTATTGGTTATGTTCATACATGTAGGTTGGAGCAGTTGCGTATGGCCTAAGTAGCTGAGGCTGACCTTCAAGGTAGTCGAAACGCGGGCCGGAACCAGGACATTGAATGCAACACGCTCTCCAAGTCTTTCTCTATGTGACGAAGTAATCTGTGTATAGATTACATGATGCGCGTTAGTAAAGTGTTCAACGTTGAGTCTACTGTCACCGGATCTTCCTCACTCCCTGGCCTAGCCTTCGGAGGATTGAGAGTCTCAAATAACATACACTCAAAGTTTTCACCCTAGCTTCTTATGGCGCTCACTAAGCTACGTCATGGTTGGAAGGAGAGAACGGGGCTTTTAGCATTGGTGGCCTCATAGTATCTGCCTGCTCGTGGTGTTGTCTGGAGCTGCTCTTTTCTTCGTGTGACAACCGTCAACCTGACAACTTTGAACGCGGAACGACTCGTCTGGGAGTCAACGGTGTAGTCTGAGCATCTACAGCATCTAATGTAAATGTATAGCTGTGTCGGATGAAGAGATTCAGCCGGCTTGGCAAGCAGGGCGTTTACAGGACCTCAGACGAATGAACGTTGGACTCATTTTAGGCTGAGAAGTTCGGAAGGACAGAGTGAGCTCATGAGCAGATGAGCATAACTCAGCCGTTGCAAGTCCACCAAGGCGCAGACTCGTTGCATACGAAGAAACATGCACCATAGCTGACCCAACTTCTCCGAAGAGACAGGATGACTTCAACTCATACTCCGAAGTCTGTCAACCACACGGACTGCGCCCGCCATTTGATAAGGTTGGACCTTGACGGGATCAGAATCTGTGATGAGCCACCTCACTGTTGTCGAAGAGCTCGCTATGTCTTCAAACGCTTTGATCGGCATAGCGCAATCATCTTTCCATGAGATTTGGATAAGCCTGGAAGGTTTCGTCGACCCCCAAGCCTGGGTCAGAGGCCTGAGGGTAAAACCTTGTTGAATTCTGGTGAACTCGTGAAGGATGCAATGTGTAGGAGAATTTGCTACACCAAAAGAACGATAGAGTAACTCGGGGCATGAGTTACATATAGGCAACAAGTCATGTTATGGGTGCGGACGCGACAGACGAATGCTTTCATCGATTTAAGGTTGTTGGTCATGATGACACAGGTAAACATGCGAGGGCAGACGTACAGCCTGCGTCGGGGACTATTGTCGACAGGAGCTGCAGTGTCGAGGACCGCATTCGCATTCCCTTGGCGTCGATCCAAGTACGCTACGTGCTGTTTGAGAAAGTAGCAGTGCTGCACGGTACTTGCGAGTTTGTGATCAGACGACGTTGGTTGTAAACCGTGGATAGCGTCATGAACCTAAAGTATACAGAGCTTATGCCACTTGCCAACCATGAAGTCATTGTCACTCCTAAAACGCCTCCAACGAGCTTGCAGATGCCACGGCCTTGCGAGATCCGCCTCTAACGGGGCTCCCGTCGGGCTGGGCTGCGTCTTCTCAAACTGACTGTAAACATATCAGCCTCCGGGAGCTCGCCGGCGCACGTGCGCTTTCGGCCGTGCCGTAGCCGCAGTCAAGCAAGTCGATCGGTGAAGTCCCAAGGGCTCAGACTGGCACGTTCCTCCCGACTAGCTGCCAAGCTGCAGAAACAGAGCCCACTTGTTGCGTGAAGATTTCAAAAGTTCATGTACGCCTCACAGGTGGGCATCTCGTGACGGTGGCCGCGGGCAGTCGGTCCCGAGGTGCGGGAGGTCTTGGTGGCATTCAATAGACAGCGACGTGCCTTGTTTGTGCCCAGTTTGAGGATGGAGCTGATCCAAGCTTCTCGAATCTCTCAAAGACACATAGTTCTCTGAGAACAACGCAACAATGAACGAACCAACTGAGACCAAAGATGAGGTGAAGGATATCGTCGAGGGCGGTCCGTCGAGAGCCAATTCGGGCGAGGGTCGCGGGGAAGTACTTCAACAGTCGCGCGCCGAGTCGGAGAAGAGTAAGTCAACGCCATCGACAGACCAAGGACGATCAGGCGAGCAGGAGAAACACGAAAAGGTTATTCAGTCGGCTGAAGATGACTTCCCCGAAGGCGGCACGCGAGCATGGTCAGTGGCGGCCGGCACAGCAGCCATCCTGTTCTGCTCTCTGGGGTACACCAACTCATTTGGCGTTTTTCAAGCGTACTACACGCGCCATCAGCTTTCGAACCATACGCCAGACGACATATCGTGGATCGGATCAATACAGGCATTCTTGGTGTTTGCGTCTGGTGCTATAGGAGGGCCAATCTTTGACCGTTATGGCGCATGGGTGAGTGCACACAAGACACAGGCGTGCTGGTATCGCCATCGAGAAGATGCTAACCTTGACTAGGTCATTCGTCCCGCCGCGATAGTATACATCTTCTCAGTGATGATGACGAGCTTGTGCAACGAGTATTGGCAGTTCATGCTCGCTCAAGGTGTGCTCAGCGGCTTATCGAACGGATTGATCATGTTCCCAGCAATGGCCGCCACGCCTCAATACTTCAAGAGGAGGAGAGGAGCAGCCATGGGTCTCGCCATTGCCGGCTCCTCGTTGGGCGCAGTCGTCTTCCCCATCGTTCTCTCAGAGCTTCTGGACACGCTGGGGTTCGGTTGGGCCGTTCGCATATGCGGCTTCATCATGATGCCATTCCTCTTATACTCGTCCGTCGCCGTCAGGGCCCGTCTTCCCCCTCGAAGGAGCCAGTTCTTCATCTGGAAAGCTTTTCGACAGCCGCTGTTTCTGTGTCTCACTGGTGGCGTGTGCCTCATGTTTGTGGGCATGTTCATCCCCTTCTTTTACTTGCCGACATTCGGTATCGATCACGGCTTGAGCCCGTCACTGGCGTCTTATTTGGTGGCAGTCATTAACGGAGCCTCGATCCCCGGCCGCATCATTCCAGGCGTCCTCGGCGACAAATTTGGTCGCATCAACATCTTATTCACTGCAGGACTGTTAACCGCCATCTCGATTCTCTGCTGGCCCAAGGCAGTGACTGAGGCTGGAATCATTGGCTTTGCCGCAGCGTATGGTCTCACTTCTGGCGCCATCATCTCAGGAGGGTCCGTGGTCTTCACCCTGTGCCCAAAGACGCCGAAGGATATCGGCACCTATATGGGAATGGGCATCGCATTCGCATCAATTGCTGTGTTGATTGGGCCACCGGTCAGCGGCGCGTTGCTCAATCGGTACCACGGTTACGACCAGATTTCCGTGTTTGGCGGCGTCATTTGCATGGTCGGGGCGGTTCTGACGCTTTGCGCAAAGCTGTTCACTACTGAGGGTCTTTTAGGATTTGTCTGAGAAGAAGCTTGAATGAAAGCTAGCCAGCCTTGGTATTCAAGAGCTGAGATACGGCATAACGGTTGTTGAGAGAGAATTGCTGCCATGGTGGTCTACGTCATGGAGACTTGGATAGGCTGGATCATTTTGACCGAGTCTGATGAATGAATACCCTCACCGAAACCTTACTAAGAACTAGTAATAAAGACTCAACATTCAACGCTTTTGCCGATTCGGCAGCGAGCCGGCCATTGATAAGTCGCAATTGCCCCACGCGGACCCCTCATCTAAATAACGGCAGTCCGTCCTAAACGATGCTCATTTCCCGTTGCCGCACGGCTTGGCCTTGGGAGAATCCAAGGATCATCACGTCCATCAATGTTGCATTTAAACATTAAACAAGCAAACAAAAGCCACCATCGAAACAGGGGCACCGAGCACAATGATTGGCGCACAATTCTGAAGCGGAGAAGAAAAAGCTCGGCTTCCTCCTTGGGCCCAGACTGGAACCTTCTCCCCGCCCCGGCAACTCTCAATCCTTCACCGTTCACGGTGTGTTTGCGGAGACGCGGAGCACACGGCTAGAGGATTGGATGACGTCTTCAAGGGTCTTGCGCCATGTCTACCGCCTTGGCAAAGGATATCTCCAAGATACCACCCGTATCTCCGTCCGGATGACCATCCAAGAAATAGGTTCCGATCTGGCTTATTTGTAATCATTGGACGCGTGGAACGGGGAGAAGCTTAAATCTTAAAAAGATGTTGGGCTATCCCGTCCCGTCCCATTTCCTCCATCCGGTCTCCGTCCGCCGTGCTTTGTGATTGACCTACCTCCAGTCCAGAACCTTCAAGATGCTCAGCAAAACTATTGTCGCAGCCCTTCTGGGCTTCGTATCTCTGACCAATGCTGCTAAGAAGTGCCCCGTTGCCGACGTTTCCGCCATTGCCCACACTGGCACTCCAATTGGCGAGGAGGTCAAGTACAATGGGCGTGAGTCTTTTCAATCTCGTCGCGACGTCTATCTGGCGCACGAGCTGACGCGATTTGTATGCAGTGACCCAATATGTCACCAAGCCAAGCACGCGTGGTAATAGGACTGTTGGAGTCCTTTACCTGACCGACGTTTTCGGAATCCAGCTCGCGCAAAACAAGCTGTGAGTACCTTATACCAGCCATAGACCTCGGGCCGCCATATGGCACCGTCGTGCCAATACCGATGTTAACGCAAACGGCCAGCCTGTCCGACAGCTTTGCTCGCGCCGGTTACATCTCCGTCGCGCCGGACCTGTTCAACGGCAGCCCCGCCCCGAACGATATCAACATCCCCGGCTTCAACACGACGGCATTCCTTGCGCAGCACGGACCCAACGTCACTGACCCGATCATCGCCAACTCCATCAAGTACCTGCGCGAGGAACTCGGCGTGAGCAAGGTCGCCGTCACGGGATACTGCTTCGGAGGCCGCTACTCTTTCCGCGTCCTCGCCGAGGGCAAGGGCGCTGATGTCGGCTTCGCCGCGCACCCGAGTCTTCTTACCGATGAGGAGATTACGGCCATCACTGGTCCCGCGAGTGTCGCTGCCGCCGGTACGTTAAAATCCCGGCCCCTCTCCTCCCAGGAGTGCACCTGCAGAAGGGTACCTGGACTGTTCCTTGTTATTGACAATGCCGCTGTAGAAACTGATAACCTCATGTCACCCGCTCGTCGTGCCGAGGTTGAGGCCCTCCTCAGTGAGACTGGCCAGCCCTTCTCCCTCGCTGTGTATGGTGGTACCTCGCATGGGTTCGGCGTTCGCGCCAATATTTCGGACCCCAGACAGAAGTTCGGCAAGGAGGAGGCTTTCTTCCAGGCTGTTCGCTTCTTTGACACCTGGGCTTGATCGAGCCTACAATTCTTGTACATATCCGAAAATTTTGCTGTCCAAATATGATCTCGACTGTACTGATTGCTTTCAACAATTGAAGTCCAACAGTCACCCGCGCTTCGAAGGCTTTGTCAATGTTGTATGGATGGAGAGATGTGTATACGTTTTCGTCTGTTCGTCTGGAATATTCGCGAATCGTACTATGAGGTTAATCGTTCGTCTCATCGTCTGTACCTGTATCAGGAGGTAAAATTGACATGTTAGCGGCGATAATGAGGTTACTTGAGAGAGGGCTAATTCGAATCCGCTCCAGGGAGATACGTCGAGAGCCTTGCCAGGAAACGTTATTGAATGTGAGAGCAAACAGCTCATCAGCAACATGGCCGCCCTCGCTGTAAGCAGCAGGACTCGTAGAATTTTTCTGCCCAAGAAGGTGTATGAATAGGCACGGAAGTTCCGAGAACAACTTGGCAAGTTTGCCATCGTCAAGGTTCATCGGCATGACCGCAGAACCGGAAAAGCTAAGACTTGTTAACTTGGCCAGTCAGAGACGATGCACCTCGCTTTCCATAGTTGTAGTCCCACGCGTTAGACGCGTCTAGACCTCATCCTCATCCGACTATTGCCGTCCGCGGCGTCAGTTAGCATCATCAAGCTTTTTATCCCTTCAGACGTCATGGTCATCATGTGGCTTCTTTTCGAGCGAAAAGCTAGGATCCAATGTCATCGGGGACCCCTAGCTGCAGCCTGCCAACAAATTCTCCGGGGGACAACGGGCTACAAAGGTAGTGACGAGCCTTATGCAGCGCGTCAAGCAGTGTTTAGACCTGGCGGCAGAGTCATAATCAGCCTTACCATTCCCACTTTCCGCTAGGTATTACCCCTAGGTCGGATCACTTAAGCTTCCAGGACGATCGCACATTCGCAACACCCCCACTAGTCGTAGCACCAAACCAGGCGCACCCACCTACCTCGGTTTCGGTTTCGGGGTTTGAGGTACAACCCGTCTGTTCCTGTTTTGATCGTTTCAGATCGCTCACACTCTGACTCTACAGCTCATTTGTGTTCCTAGTAGCTTCTGTACGAAGTAGTTGAATATGCCTTACCTTCAATGCTAATGAGTTCTATCCTAAGTAGGTAGGTCGAACGAGTTCTAGTCGCCAAGACATCTCCGGACCACTGTAGCCCGCAATGCGCTCTGCTGCCGCTCGGCCGAAACCTTTAGGCTTTTGGTGATCGGCTCGTTAGACTTTCGAGCCTAAAAGATGTAGACGAACGGGTAATCGGGTAGACGTTGAACAACGGAACAGCTGTTACTTGGCGGCGGAATCTGGCGACACCGCCGAGTCGTAGAATAGCACTGGATCATCGTACACGGCTCGTAGGACCCGCGGTAGCCCTGACTGTCTGGACTCTGCTCTCAAATCTGCAGAGCTAGTGTGATCTCCGACGAGGCAAATCAGGGCATGAGCGGAATATGGTAGTCTAAATGTTTTGTTCTTTGATTTATTTAGATAACAACTAAAGTTGTATACTCCTATCGCTTATGAATGCCAAAGGCCATTTGACCAACTCTTTCCACTCTGGATCCAAGTCTGATACTATCGCTCGCGCCGAGTTGATGCCCCATCCCTGCATGAACCACGTTGTAGCTTCGGTCGAGCGAACGACGACTGAATAGTAAGCTAGCAGAGTTAGAGCCGCCGGATCGCGGTTCCGCAGCAGCTGCAGATACTCCTCCGTGAGGTTAATGGGCCATGTCAAGGCCACTCGTAGCTCTGGAAACGCCGTTGTCTCGACGGCGTGCATGATCCACCCGAGAAACACGTCAATCTCTTTGCTGACGATGGCTTTGGTCGGTTCGTCGGCGCTGGATGCCTTTAAGCTTATTTGGAGGTTCTCGAGGTGCTGTGTGACTGCCTCTAGCAACGGTGTAGACGCAGGAGTGACCACCTCTGTGAAGAAGTTCCTAAATGGCCCACTCTGGATAGAGGGCTGGAATGACGATAGGATATGACTCATTCCTCTCACTAGTAAGAACACGTCGAGGACGTCGTCGACTGTCGGTGCCTCTTGTGAATGGGGCGCTCCCCTTTGATATGGGAAAGTGGAGTATGCGTTGAGCAGCAGTAATGACGACGCCGCGAACAGAGCGTGGCAGTTTTCTGTCGTGATGTTCATGAGAGACTCTCTCATGCCCGCTATCGCATCGCTTTGATGTTGTGAGGCATGCAAGGCATAAGACTCGCGCTGCTCCGGGTGCAGATAACCCAGATGTAAAGCACCAATGGCGAGGATTTCGTGCATCAGGAACATGTACGTCAGACCAAGCTTCGGTACCTCAAACTGCCAGATGCTGCTCACGTCTGATGACCTGGGCATCGTGAGACTAGTGGCCGTGGAGTAGTGGTGCATCAGCTCGAGATCTGTAATCCACTTGCTCAAATGAACCGGTTCCACGGGCTCGGTTGAGAACTTGACAAAATAAGGAAAGGGGTCAGGGCTCGAGGCGGCGATAGATGACCTCCTATTTCCGATGGATGAGCCCCGGTCGCTGACGAAGTCTGCTGGTAGGTTGAGGGTGGCCTCGAGCAGACTAGGCGGCGTCAATGAGTGGTCTATCGGACTGATTGATGGCGTTTGCGTCTTGCGGCTGCCGCTGGACCCCTTTCGCGATGAGCTCCTTCGCTGGAAACTCGGCACTCTTGAAAGTCCCGCTGCGTTAGAATTGGATGTCGGCTCCCAGCTCATGTTGTCACCGGAGCCTCCGTCCACTGAGCCCTCAAGAAGACTGCACTGGGTGTTGTGCCTGATACAGGCGCCACACGGCTTGTTCTCATCGCACTGGGTTCAGAAGTGTCAGCCGGGCCGCGTTCAATATACATGTTGGTTTGTGAGTGGTAGAGAGGTTGACGAGTGTGCATGTGTATGCGAATGGATGAAAGGTGGTAAGTACTTTTACGCGACGCTGTTTACACCTTGCACAGCCACCGCGAGACTTTTTGTACCCTAGGCGCGGCATCTTGCAGCAAGCAGAATAAGCAACCCTTTCGTTATTCCTTCTTAGACCTGGGCTCTTATCCTAGATTGGCGCAAAGGGACAACACTGCCGTAACTTCCCCAACCTCGCGTCCGATGAAGAGTGGGCAGGCTGGACCCCAGACAGGCGAGCGATGTGCCTTTGGGCTGCCGGAAGAGAACCCTCACGATTTGAGGGGACACCTAGACCTCAAACCCCCTTGCTACAGAAATCCGATGAGAGCGATGAACAGGGGAAGGAGGCGGCAATCTGACGAATCGGTTGAGTACCGGTGACGAGATGTCAGCAAGATGTGGCTCTTCTTCACTTCAAGAGCGGCGCGGTCCGCTAAAGGTACCGTAGACAACGATCGTTTGGCGTGTCGTTGGAGGTCTCGACAAGCAGGTCAAGGAGACCGAAAGCGAATATGTGGGGTTGAGAGGATGGATGGATGGTCGGTTGGTGGATGGTAAATGGTGAATAGGTTGGGACTGAAAGAGGAGAGGCAAGTCGGGGAGATGAGCGCCGGGGCCGGAGATGGTCTGTGGTATTTTCTGCAGCGGAACGGCTGAGGTAATGGCTTCGCGTGTTGACGGTAGCGTGAACAAGTGATGGATGTAGTGTAAGGTAAAGTTAGGTTACTAAGGTGAGTGCGAGTTGTGGTGATGTGATGTATCTATGGTCCAGTCCTGTCTGTCGTCGGGGAGGAAGCTTTTGCTGGCGCGACGAAGCCGTGGTTGAGTTCAAATCCGAATGGGGCCGGTCTTGGACATTCGCCCAAGATCGAAGCGCGGAGCAAGCCACTCGAGTTATATCGTGAAGGGAGACGCGAGCGAAGCAGTGACCAGTGACCTAGACGGGGAAGATGGTTCTTGGGATTCTCGGAGTGACTGGGAGTGAGTCTGCCCCGTCCCGTACTGGGCAGCGCCGGGGCGGGTATTGAAGAAAAGCTGGCTCCAAACTGCGCCTTGCTTACGAGTCAAGCCGAAGCACGGGTGCGTGCGTCAGAAACACAATAACATAGCGGCTCGTACGGATCTGGAATGGCGTGTGCGTGGAGAAAGTGAAACGAACAAGGCCGTATGCTGCCCGTTCCTATTGGAGCCTAGCCCTGTTGTTGACTCTCGAGTGTAGAGATTGAAGGGAGGGGATGGGCAGGATTGTAAAGAAGCAAGAGTGGTGTGTGTCGGTGTGTACGGTTACGTTTCGTCTAAGCTATCATCAGACCGAAGGACTCTTCCTATGTGGTGCCAATGGTGGTGGTGGCTCAGGCTCCGGCTTAGGCTCAGGGGTGCCACGAGAGGGGCAGCACTCTAATAAAGATTCAACACCTCTCTCTAGATCCATGTTCGCTAAATGACGATCCACGTCGGGTTGGGGGCTCCTGATCCTGCCCGTTGGAAGTACTAGTAGGGGACTACCACCAACTAGGAGGTATCTGTAGACATGCACACCTGAATATCACTCATGTGGCCAAGAGCCACGGCATCAAGACGTCAATTCCTCCACCAAGCCTCCATCAAACGTCGACATGCGTTGCGTGGAGTGGCATACCCAAATACATGTATTGGGTGGGCAACGCACCACAGGCAATACGTGTATGGCTAGGATCCTCTACGCCGCTCAACCACTCAACGTCCACGCAGATGAGATAAGTCAGTGTGGCAGCATAGCATTCTGTCACCAAGGTTCCTACCAAGGTTCCTCCCAAAATTATCCTCCCGTCTTGGCCAGTGCCCTCGCCATCACGCCGTGATCCCGGCGACGAGATTTGTGTTAGGCTTCCGGGGTTAACGGACAGGACGGGGCCTTGCTATGCCCCTTTACCTCCATGAACCCTAAGCTCCCGCTAATACTACCCGGTCCCCTGTGTCCATCAATCCAAATCTTTCTTGACGGCTGTCAGCCCGGCAGCAAGGCACACTTGCCATCCCTCCCCTTTCCCCCTCGTAGCTTACCTGTTGCTACGGATAGCCACAACCTTTCCGGGGGCGTT